CACACAGCCGTGTCCCATCACAGACAGGCCACACACAGCCACGTACCTGCAGGAAGTCTCGGATGTGGGTGTTCGCCCGCTTAGAATTGGGTCCGGGAACTTCAAAGAGGGGACACTGTTGACCCACCACGAAGATATCCACCAGGTCACGGATGTAGTAGCCTTGACGGGTACGAATAATCAGGAAGTCCGTTTCAGGCATCTTGTGCAGATATATTGGGGACCTAAAAAGATTGTTTTCAAAAGCCTAAAAAAAGGATAAAAATACAAAAATGACGATAGAAAATAATCTGAACGCCAGGCAAACAGATCCATCCAGTCACCCCCAGCTCCGCCACGCAGCTCCGCCCTCTCCGGCAGCAGACCTGACTTTTCTCTGCTGCAGTCCAGTAACACTTAAAGGTCTAGTCCCTCCCCCAGCCTGTGACTGGACAGTGAAAGGAGAAGCAGCAGACTGAAGAGCTCATCTCTCTGCTCTCTCCTCCTATCAGTATGTTCCTTGCTACCTCATAAGCACTGTAGCACACAAAGGACTGTCTTTCAGTGCTCATTCCCCCTCTCCCAGTCTGAACTCTGCTGTACAAGGGCCTAGAAGAGGCTGAGAAGTCAGAGTCAGGTACTTGCACTGCATGAAATGTGTCTTACAACTGGCTGGAAGAATGCAGAACAATAACAAGCCGTCACTTCCTGCGCAGGATCTGTAGACATCCCATAATTGTCAGTGACAGATCCCGGGGTGGGACAGCGAGCATCAAGGCGCGGTACCGGGCACCCCACAGACGTCCTCATACCAATCACTGAAGGTCCGATATATAGAGACAGGGACACAGGCATTCAGATACAGTCGGGTTATAGTGCCGCCAGCAAGAGGGGGCGGAGTTAGGGCCCAGCCCAGGATAACTCCGCCTACTCCCAGCATGCCTCAGTGCTCTGCTGGTGTCCCAGGATAACTCCGCATACTCCCAGCATGCCTCAGTGCTCTGCTGGTGTCCCAGGATAACTCCGCCTACTCCAAACATGCCTCAGTGCTCTGCTGGTGTCCCACGATAACTCCGCCTACTCCCAGCATGCCTCAGTGCTCTGCTGGTGTAGTACCCGGGCCCCCCGATGTGGCATGTAACCTTGGGGCCCTGGGCTCCTCCCAGACCCGAGTCTGCCGTGCTCCTTACCTGTAATAACTGTCCGGGGTGCAGGGAGCCGAGGAATGGCGACGTGTGACAGTACACCGTCTCCCCGTATTTGCAGTCCGGGGCTCCGGGGTCTTTGCCTGGTTTCTGTAGGCAGATAAAAGGGTCAGAAAACCATAAAAAGCCCCCGAAATTCACCGACAACGTCACCGGAATGGTTGTGCCGCACTCACCCTTTTGTAGTAGTTTTTTATCTTGGTTGCCATGCCGACTTGCATGGTTAATGGCGGATTTTCTTCGCTGTACTCGGCCAGAATGAGGTCCCCGTCCTTGCCGGTAAGATCTTGTGAGGTGCGCATGAAAAACATCTCCCCGCCTCCCGACGCCTGACGCTCCTGTTCCCTCATCTGTCATGGAGGACGAAACGTCAATATCTCAGATCTGTCTACATATAATACGCTGGGACAGTCAGCACCACACCATGAACGTCTAGTCTCTCCTCAAGGATCGCTACCCTCCGAACCCATGTGAGATACCCTCTGGGGTGCACGTAGTTCAGGGGGGCAACCCGCACGGGTTCAGGGGGGCATCTCACACGGGTTCAGGGGGGCACAAACCAAAAGCCAACCAAGAACAAGGTTAGACAACAGCAGCTCCGGCACGGCCGAAAGGTCTCTCTCCAGTCTGTGGAGGACTATGAGGTGGAGGACCAATGGCTTGGGTTACCCCGGAGCGCGCACTCGCTCGTCTGACTTCCACAGAGCACATTCAGCCCCATAAGGATGATGTCACCTGGATTAAAAGGCTCTACGCATTCCGCACAGTCCTGTCCACGGCCCGCCCCTCGCTGATGCGTTTCACCCTCATGGGAAGTGACGTCATGGGCGTGGGGCTGACTTCGCTCTCCGGACCTGGGCCGACTACTTAAAAATGGAGGTTCCCAAATACAATAAAATCTCCACAAAAGAAA